CCGGGGTGGCACTAAGGCGGCGGACGGTGTGTGTGTGTGTTCTCTGGCAGATGAGACGGAATACGAATACAGTGGCAGCGAGGAAGAGGATGACGGGCGTGGAGAGGAAGGCGAGCCCAGGTATCAGAGCTGGGTGCCGTGGCCCTTCTTCCCTTGTGGGCCCACTTTGCTGCTGCCGGCCGACTGTGGCCGAGTGCGCGAGGTGGCGTTCTCCTGGGCTCGGGCTGCACGGGCGGGGGTGGGCCTCAGGTCCCCTCTGCAGCCCGCTCAGCCGGCCTCCCCTCCCCGCCTCCAGCTCCATCATGAACGTCCCCGGGGAGTCCACGCTGCGGAGGGAGTTCCTGCGCCTGCAGCAGGAGAACAAGAGCAACTCGGAGGCCCTGAAGCAGCAGCAGCAGCAGCTGGCGGCGCAGCACCGGGACTCGGAGGCCCATATCAAGCACCTCCTGCACCAGCGCCAGCGGCGCATCGAGGAGCAGAAGGAGGAGAGGCGGCGGGTTGAGGAGGTGAGTGGCAGCAGGGGGCCCAGGCATCTGGTTGGGCCTCGCAGCCGTCTGTCCGGCGATCAGCCACTCCTGCCTCCCTCCTCCTCCTGGGGAGGAGGTGAAGTGAAGAGACAGTCCCCCCACGGTGGAGTGAGTCCCTCTCAGTCCGCGGGCCTTTCTCTGGGAGGGGCCCCTCCTGGACACTGCCTCTGCTGTGGCCGGTCTGTAGTGCCGGGGGGGGGCTTCTGGGGGCTCTGCCCCCTTTCTTAAAGGCACAGCCCCACAAGAATTTCTCCTGTAAATGCTTTTTTCAATCATTTTTTTAAAATTAAAGGCATGCACTCCTTTAAGCAGAGTGGGGTGCTGTCGTGGACTAATTCTCGCACTGAGTGCGGGGGTTGGAGTACGTGACCTCTAGGATCCCTTCTAACTCTGTGTCAAGAACCGGGTCTCCTTTCAGAGAGGTTTTCTGCCGAAGTGTTCATCCCCCCCATATGCCAGCGTGTTATCAGAACTGTTGCTTCAGCAGCCGAGAACTGTCACCTTAAAGTGGTTGACAGCTTCCAGTTTGGAGATCTGTCCTGGTCACAGCTTTCTGTGGGCTACATGGCTCTTCTTCCTGCAGAAGAAAAATTGCTCCACGAGCCACAACATCCTGGCCATGGGCCCGGCTCCGGCGCTTGCCCCCCCCTTCACCCTCCGTCTTTCCCTCTGCAGCAACAACGCCGCGAACGGGAGCAGCGGAAGATGCAGGAGAAGGAGCAGCAGCGGCGGCTGGAGGACATGCAAGTGATGCGGCGGGAGGAGGAGCGGCGGCAGGCCGAGCGGGAGCAGGTGGGCGAGGCGGCCGTCGGGGCGGGGGAGCCCCGCACCGGCTTCAGCCAGCCAGCCGTGGCCCAGGAGCCGGGCTGCCGTCACTTCTTTTGGGGCCTGTCTCTGTGGTGGCGTGGCGTGGCTTCCCCTCCTCTCTGGGTGGCGGGGCTGTCTCCCCTGTGCTCCTGTCCTCTCTTCACCCCCCCTTTCTTCTTTAGGGCCCCCCCAGGGGGTGGGGGGTGTGCGGCAGGCGGGGCCCGGAGGGGGGAGGGGGCAGGGGTCCCACCAGGCAGGTGGCTCAGGCCCCTCCTCTGCCGACTCTCCAGGAGTACAAGCGGAAGCAGCTGGAGGAGCAGCGCCAGTCGGAGCGGCTCCAGCGCCAGCTGCAGCAGGAGCACGCCTACCTGAAGTCCCTGCAGCAGCAGCAGCAGCAGCAACAGCTTCACAAGCAGCAGCAGCAGCAGCAGGAAAAGAAGCCCCTGTACCACTACAACCGCAGCACAAACTCTGCCGACAAACCCACCTGGGCACGGGAGGTATGTCTCCCTGCAGTGGGATGCACGGAGCTCAAGCAGGCTCAAGCCAGTCCAGGGGGCATTCCTTCCCCCCAGGGAGGGTGAGGGTGAGGGGTGGGGTGGCCGAATGAAGCAGCCACAGGTGATTGCCCGGGCCACAACTCCTGACATCCTCCGCAGGTGGAAGGAAGAGCGGGCACGCATGAACAAGCAGAACTCCGCCTCCCCCGTCGCCAAGGGCAAGACGGGGAGCGGGGGGCCAGAGTCGGTGCCCCCCTCCCGCTCCGAGTCAGCCTCACTCAGCTCCTCCCCTGCCTCGCAGACCCCGCCCATGCAGCGCCCCGTTGAGCCCCAGGAGGGGCAGCACAAGGTGAGCGCTTTCCCCCAGACACACACCCCGCCTCCCTCTCCTGCCCCCTCGGGCTGCAGCCCTTCCCCCAACCCCCACCCCACCCCACCATCCCAGCTGCTCATTCCCATCGCTGCTTCTCCCATTCCCTGCCCTTTGCCCACCCCGCCCCCAGGACTGGGAGGAGGGGGTCTGTCTGTCTGTCTGTGGGGCCCCGAGGAGGATAGCCGGGGGATGGCAAGCCACCAGAGGCAACGCAGAGGGAGGAAGCCCCAGTGGGGGGCAGGCGGCAGGCCCCAGGAGAGGGGGCAGGGGGAGACCGAGCAAGCCCACTCCCCTGCACATGCTGTGCAGGCCAGAGGAGAAGGCTCTGAAGGGCCTCAGGCCAGACTGGCGGGCTGCGGCCCAGACTCCAGGGTCTCAAGGGGGGGCTGGGGGGGGCCCCAGCTGGTGTCCTGAGGGAGGCAGGTTCATCTCCCCCCCCCCACCGCCCGGGCCAGTGGTGGGAGGGAGCTTGATCTGGGCTATGCAGGTGCCAGCAGGCAAAGGGGCAGAGCTGGGTGGGAGCTTGGCTTGGTGCCACCCCCCCCCCCTCCGTCCTCTCCCCCCTTCCCCCGGTGACCCCCTGCCCGTCCTCTCCCTCCGCAGAGCCACCTGGCCCATCGCGTCCCGCTCAAACCATACGCTGCCCCCGTCCCTCGCTCCCAGTCGCTGCAGGACCAGCCCAGCAAGAACCTGGCCGCTTTCCCTGCCCACGACTCCACCTCCTCCTCCGCCCCATCCCCACCTCGAGCGGGCATGATCCGGCAGAACTCGGACCCCACCTCGGAGGGCCCGGCCCCGCAGCCGTCCCGACCCACAGCCGATCAGCGAGGACCACCCTGGGTCAAAATGGATCCCGAGCCCCCTCCCAAGGCAATGGTGAGGGGGAGGGCTGGGGGGGTGCTTCTGTCAGAACCAGAGCGCCAGGGATCTCGGGGTGCGTGCTGTGGACAAGAGCCCTGGGGGACCCGTCTCCTGCACACGGGGTCCCTGGAGCCCCTCCAGGGCCTGGCTGTGACTGTTTGACCCATCTGTGGTGTGCACTGCGTGGAGACAGGCTCTCCTCCTGCCCAGCTGATTCCCAGTGGGGCTCTGCTCCCTCCCCCCTCTTCCTCCTCCTCCCCCCCCCCGTGGGGGGTCGATCCGTCCCTGCTTTGTGGAGCTGCCCTGTGTCAGGAAGGGGGCAGGGGGGACCTTTTTCCTCCTTGCTCTGTGGTTAGAAAAGCCGTTCCCCAGAGGTGCCCGGGGAGTCCTGCTGCTGCCGCCGCCGCCGCCTGCGAGGTCTGCCCCCAGAACCCACCCCCAGGGATCCCGATACGGCACTGCAGGAGAGCCGCCGGGGGGGGGCCACCCCTGCCCCGTGGCTCCCTCCCTGCCCCGAAGCCTCTGCCCGATCAGGCCACGGAGCCGAATCCTCGCCTCCCGGTTCACGGGTCAGGGGGGGGTCGATCAGCAGAGCCGGAGGGCCCCCTCTGCAGTGCCCCCTCTGCAGTGCCCTTCAAGACAGTGCCCCTCCTTGCAACATCCCTGCGAGGCAGGGCAGTGTGACCCACATGCCAGTGGGGGGTGGGCTGAGGCCGGGGGAGAGCCGCCCGTTGAGTTCCTGGCAAAGGCGTGGCTCGGCCCAGGCTCCCCAGGTCTTAACGGAAGGGGCTGTAGCTCAGCGGTAGGACATCTGCTTGGCACCCAGAAGGCCCCAGGCTCCATCCTCGGCAGCATCTCCGGGTGGGAGGGCCGGGAGGGCGGTGGGTGACGTGGGAGACCTTTCTGTGCCAGAGGCCCCGCTGGGAGCTGCGGCTGACCTGAAGCGGCCAGGCTGACCTCGGGCAGCTCCGTGGGTCTGCGCCTCTTCAAGTGGCCTGGGCTCTTTGCAGGGGTCATCTGGGGCCACCCCTCACCCCTCGTTCCTCTATGTGTCCTTCCAGGTTCCCCAGCGGACATCCTCCATCGCGACGGCGCTCAACACCAGCGGGGCCATGAGTGGCAACAGCCGGCCGGTGCACGCCGTTCGAGCCAGGTAGCCTCTCCGCATCCCGGTGGGAGACTTGACGCCGAGACCGCACTCACGCACTCCTAGAGGGGCCCTCCGGGTGGGCCGTGGGAGACCGTGAGTCCCCCTCACTGGCTCTGAAGGTGGGCCTGCCTGTCTGTCGGGAGCCAGCTACGGAGTGAGGCTGGGCGGCTGTTGATTTCCCCTCCCCCACGTGGCGTGCCGATGGTTGTGCCATCCGCGTGGGCTGCTCGTTCCGTGGCAGCAGAGCCCCCTGTGCTCCGACAGGGCATAGTCTCGCCGTGGCCCCGAGTGGGCTCGAGCCCCTTTGGCAGTTGTTGGCGTGAGAGGAGGTGAGGCTGCCGACGAGTGAGCAGCACGGGGCTTCCTCGGGAGGCCGAGGGGCAGGCAGGACAGGGCCCCGTGGGCACTGGGAGGCCCCCCCCCCGGCAGCCTCTGCAGCACGCCCCTGATGCACTTTTGCTCCTGTCCACAGGCCCCGTAGCAAGTCCGCCTGGCATATCCACATGCAGAGCCGGCTGGAGAGGGGTCCCCGGTGGGATCCTTCGCCAGTCCCTCCTCCCCCCCAGGCCGCAGGCCGGACCCCGCCCTGGGACCCGCCGGCTCCCGTGCCCAACGCCAGTAGGTAATGGAGCATCAGCACGGCGGCGGTGGCAGCGGATCGGGCACGGCGTGTGGCTTGCTGGCTTTCTTGGCGGTGGTTTCCTGTCTCTCCGCGGTGACGGGCTGCTCTCTCGGCGGGGGGGGCGGGGCTCCTGGCCAGACCCTCCCCCTCCCCTCTGACGGCGGCGTCTCTCCCCTCTCTTCCCCTGCAGCAACCCCGACCTCCGGAGGAGCGACCCTGGCTGGGAGCGCCCGGACAATCTGCTGCAGTCGGGGTCTGCCCATCTGCCCCAGGCGGGCTCACTGGAGCGCAACCGTGTAGGAGGTGCGGGCGCAAAGACCTCTGGAGGAGGGTTCAGCCCCGGCCGTGGGCCTCCTGGGGCGTCTGGGTGGCCCCCGTGTGAAAGGGGAGGCTAGGCGAGGGGGACCCTAACCCTCAGGCAGTGGGACCAGTTCTCAGGGGAGAGGACTCACCAGAATGATGGGTTTGAATGAAAGGTGGGAGGGTACCGGCTGGATCTTAGGAGAAACCTTTTGACAGGGTTGTGCCACAGTGGGATCAGCTGCCCGGGGAGGTGGTGGTGGGCTCCCCCTCCCTGGCAGTCTTCAAGCAGCAGCGGGACCAACACAGGTCAGGGATGCTCTGGGCTGACCCTGCACTGAGCAGGGGGGGTTGGACTAGATGGCCTGTGCGGCCCCTCCCAATTCTCTGTGATTCTGCTGTTCTACGTGGGCGACTTCATCTTCTGTCTCTCCCACAGCCCCCCTGAAGCTGGACAGCTCCCCAGTGGCTCCCAAGGCGGACGACCACCGTTCGCGGCCCGGCCGGCCAGCCGTAAGTCCTGGGGGGCAAGGGGTGGGTGGGGTTTCTCCACTGGTCAGACTTTGTCTAGATCCACCGTATCCGCCAGGACCGGGTTTTACTGTGAGGCCTGCAGCCCGGGGGGGGTGGCTGAGGCAGGCTGTTCGGGGGTCTGGAGCTGGTCGTCTGCATCTTAACCTCTCTGCCCTTTCTCTCTCTCTGTCTCTCTCTCTCTGTCTCTCTCTCTCTGTCTCTCTCTCTCTGTCTTTCCTCCGCCTTTCCCTCTGTGCAGAGCTATAAGCGGGCAATTGGCGAGGTTAGTGCATCTCCCTGGAGGGTGTCCCTCCCCACCCCCCCCCCGGGACCGGAGGCAGCGGGAGGGAGCCT